TTTTAATTGTCATTAACTTTTTGAGTATGTGAGCACAAACGCATTATAAATACGATAAATCCGGAGACGTTTTGTTTTACTACCGCAGAGCCTTTGAGATTGGAATGTAAACTCGATTGCTTAGCCATATGACGAAATCAATCAGAGCTCCCATCTGTATAGAATACCGTAAAAAGGGCCTCATGTGCAAAGGAGCCTGTCTGGCTTGCACGATTGGCTTACCTCCTTAAAATATCACTATCCAAATTGGGCCACTCATAAAAGGAATACAGAGTGAACATATCTAGCTAGAAAATGATTGTCGTCTTTGGAGAATGTAGAACTGTTTCAGCAGTAACACATTATCAACATCGACAGATGATATCAATGATCAACACCGGTGACTTGCTGCCGCACAGCGGAAATTAAATAGGACGGAAATCAGTATTATTCTACATGTTAAACATCGCCTCGTCCGCTCAAGTTTTGGATTTAGAAAAGCCAGAAACTGTGCGTTTACTTTGATCGTAATCGTCAGAACTCTGCACGTAGTGTGAAATACGCTGTTGATTAAGACCTTTTATTAGAAGAAAAACCATTACGTCTGCAAGTGTTACGGAAAACCGAGTAGAATGCTAAAAGTAATGAGAATACAACCAGGCACGTAAAATGAACATCACCCTCTATGTAAATCGTCCTGGCTGTAATGCGTTGAAGTAGGTCTCATTCTTTGAAGATATGAATTCTCCCCTACTTCACATTGCGTCATCAATGTGCGCGTCACCGCTTTTAAGATGTCAACTTTTGTATAGAGGGAGAGTGCCAATTTCACGTTTGAAATAATCAACTTGGTGTAAGATCTGGCTATTATAAATGCTTTTCTGAGCCAATAAAAAAGCAATATATTCTGCCTGAACAGATCGCAGCCGAAAGACAAACCTATGAAATTTGCTCTGCTGCATATTTTAAAACACATTAAGTTACGAGCCGGTTCAGGAATTTGTTATCACATTGAGCACTTGTTCCCGTTTGGCATAGTTGGTTACAATTTCTAGCTTTGTCTAAACGCTGAAGAGTATTTTTTTAATGAAAATTTGATAAAATAGTTCGTATGTATGCATCGTTCGTATGCATCCGCAGGACAAATGTAATAAAATTTCTGATTCAGTAAATACTAACCCTCCATTATGAATATTTTAGCAGAGCTAATACGTTCTGATACTACCGGATATTATGGTAGTCCGTATTTCTAAAGCGCCGTCATTTTCCGATCTGAAAATTAAAATGAACTGTTTTTCATTTATCCCAACTGGCTGGTGAACCGCATAACTTCGAATAACAAACGACTGCAGTACTGAATAAATCAGTCTGGCATTTTTACCCATCCATTTGGGGCGGGATATGGTATACCCTAATTTCAGCTAAATACCTCAGTGACCTTCTCTGTGATCGGATGGACTTAACTCACTAAATACTCGTCCTACTTCGAGCTTTCCGTAGAAACACCCTTGGTAAAATGTAATGTCAAGTCCTAATTCAGGGTCGATTATTCCAAGCACCATGTATCTATATTCTGAAGACTACTCTTTACTTCACTGTCTCCATGTTACGTAAGCAATGATACCAAAGTCGCATGAATGAAAATGGCTGAAGACAGAATACTGTTTGAAAACGTCTTTCGTTTACCGAATTGACTACTCTTTTTGGTTTGTCATCTGTGTGAATTTAACTAATTTGCTGACCGAATTTATGTAGTGAATCCATCCAACACACTACTCAGAGCTTTGCTAACTTTCGAATGATTATTAGAAATTAGACCAGTTTCAAATGGAAAAGTTTAGGTAGCACATCGCGGGAATTATTAACACAAAAATGAACTCTACGTGCTGCGTACCTGTTATAAGTAAAACTTAGTTCATATAGTTTCACTGATCACGAGGATCCGCTAGCTCACAGGAACTGGGAATAGCGGTGAGTGAGCTAAACGTCACGGTTAAATGCTCCACTTCCTGGTCTTTGATGTTGCATATATATTTGGACATATTTAGTCAAATGGAAGCTGGCGCCTTCCGCGCCGAAAAACATGGGCAGTAAAAGCGCTTCCTACTAAACTAACGAGCGCCTTCCAGGAACAATGACCCAGTATTGTATTAATACCAACAGACAATAACATCATTGCCAGAAGTGGCATAATGTCCTCGTGATCATTCCGATCCTGCTTTGGATCGTACACATCGTCCGAACTACCGTCACCTGTGTACTAGTGGAATGCGTGTAACATCCGGTAAAAGCAGCGGCAAACTATCGACCGGGATGGACATAACCGGGTCAAGGGCGAATTTTTCGGCTGAAAGTTCAGGCCACAAAACATAGCATATAGGTAGAAATAACAGAGTATCGAGACACACGAAGCTAATTAGTGGACGTGTTTCCGTAACAAGCCCCATCCCATTAATCGTAGACAGCAGAGTAATAGTAAGTGGGAGGGTTGATGCAAATTTTCTCTCAACTTTCAATAATATAGGTTGTAGTAAAAGCAAGGGGAAAAATCAGAGGAATAGCGTGAAGGTTTAGCCGGTTTCCGAAACGTTCGACATAAATACCAAGAATTACAACCAGCAGCCCTAAAGGAACATTTACTGTGTTGCGCTGTTCTTCTCTGAGATTAAAAGTGCAGTACCGTAAATTTCATTTTGCTTCCTGTATGGAAGAGATATCGATTCTAGTATAGTTTGTCTGGTCTTTCCGGGATTGAGTGTCAGTTCCCAAACTACTTGTTTGATTTCATACGAAACTCACGTTTCTCTTCAAAACGAATTTTCCTCCATGAAACTTGTGTACATGTTCAGCTATTCTGGGGATTTCGGTCTGACTAGATAATATTAGAGCCGAGAAAACATGTTTCCTAACGTGGAGAGCAGCTATTTCGCAGACTATTTCTCCTGTTACATATAAGGACATTTGAAATTTCAACTTTTCAATTATGGTATAGTTTTCCCTTCACCCTGTGGGTGTGACGGAAATATGTGTGCTCGCTAAGTTTCCTACTTTCCGAGGCTTTCATTCTACAGTCTCACTGAATCCCCATACAAACAATGTCAGTTGTGATTATCATGATAGAGAGCCAGGCTCCATGCGAGGGACAAACATGGATCATCATGTTTTAACTCAAGTGTTTTGCACGTCGGCTAAGCGGATATTTAAAGTTCTTCACAAGCAACCCCATAAGTTAGCCCATTTATGCATCGAGCGTAATTCGAATTGTGATTACGTCCAAATTGGCAGACCAGTCTTTTCGGATAAGTGAGCCAGGTGTGTCTCCAGGTTTCTTTTCCGTTTGATCTTGTTTTCCCTTTCTTGGCATTCATTCTGATCAGATGAGATGAACCAGAAACATCTTTCTGAGCTTGTTGCCTAATACTGGATAAGCATCCAGAATTTTTTACCCTGAACTGCTTGTGAAGAACATACACTCATCTGCAAACTAATTTGGTTCTTTCGAGAGACTCACCTGGAACCCAGCTGAATCTCTCGTTTATGATGTTCTCAGGCTGTTCTCGTAAGCTGTCGATGGATTTTCAGCAACCTTATGAGTAGTACGTTACAAATATACATGTATCGCGATATTTCAAATACCGTAGCGACTGAAACATGAGGCGGCCTGGTGCAGCACATACAGTTGCCTGAGAAGATCATAAACGAGAGATTCAGCTGGGTTCCAGGTGAGTCTCTCGAAAGAACCAAATTAGTTTGCAGATGAGTGTATGTTCTTCACAAGCAGTTCAGGGTAAAAAATTCTGGATGCTTATCCAGTATTAGGCAACAAGCTCAGAAAGATGTTTCTGGTTCATCTCATCTGATCAGAATGAATGCCAAGAAAGGGAAAACAAGATCAAACGGAAAAGAAACCTGGAGACACACCTGGCTCACTTATCCGAAAAGACTGGTCTGCCAATTTGGACGTAATCACAATTCGAATTACGCTCGATGCATAAATGGGCTAACTTTATTACTGATAATTACATGGAGGAAACAGACCAACTCAGTGACAGTCAATAATCTGATTTTTAAGAAGGCTTTGTTGGCGCAGAAAATAACGTGAAACTTTTGAAGTAATCAAGTCGATGTTAGATGTGCGTTCTATCTATGATTATCCTCAGTGTAATGTTAGATGTTAGCTTCGTTTTCTCTGTTTACTCGGGGGTTACCCATGGGAATGATCGGCAAAATATTGTAACAAATGAACATTTCTTGCGAAAGCGAAAGACGCAACCAGGCAATTAGCCTCTAGTCTGCTTATCAGACGTGTCAATAAACCAGAACACATGTACATTTGTCCACAAAGCGTACAGGCACAATGCCAACAATCATTGCTTCAAAACCTCAGTAAACTATCCCTCTAACGACACCGGGCCTAAGGAATGAACAGTCTGATCCATATTGCAGCCATCATGCCCGTACCGCCAGAAGAAATAGCGTGTTCGAGGTTCCGCTACGCTGGACTCAGGATTGCTATGCTGTAACAATTTCAGGCTTACTGTTGTACGCAAGAAAAAGAACATAGTAAGATCTAATTTCATGTGTGGAAGTGAGTTCTCTGCCTCGGTCACTGCTAAGTAGTGAATTCAATCTAATGGCCTAGCCAGTGTGTATTGTGCAGGGGATTGTCAATGCACTAGCTGAAAATATGTAGCCATTTTATTTGGTCAGCCTTAATCAAAGTTCATTCAGCCGTATTTTGTTTTTCCGAACTGAGCAATAAATTAACCTAGTATGTCTGCATAGTATTAACAATTCCCATTGAAAGTAAGCATTCCTAGATGACTAGAATGCGTGATCAATATAGTGGCAATCCCAACCCTTTCATGACTCCCGTGAGCTATCCAGTATGTCTCAGCTTGATGAACTTTGAGCTAGAAAGTGTGAAAAACCAATTGGACTAAAACACGTCAAAATCACTGCAGCCGTAGCATGAAGGTTAGGTCCATCGAGGAGACAAATTTTCTAGTTCCGTGACTTACATCATTTTGATGAAATCCATCAAACGTTTCAAGTGGAATCTGCATAGAATTATGTTTCAAGGCACTTTTATTATCACACTCCGGGGTAGACGTGTCACGTTTTGAGGGATCTTGTTTTTTCCGTGTAAGCCGGTTTTTATTGGCTATCGCTCGCCCCTCTTCGAGCTTCTTATCCTCGTCTTCATCATCCGTTGAAGAAGAATGATCCACTGTTTCTTCACTCTCGGTCTCACGGTGATAGAAGTAGTTAAAGTTGGAAACAATCACAGGTACAGGTAAGGCAATGGTTAGAACCCCCGCAATGGCACAGAGGGAACCGATGAGTTTACCCCAGAGTGTTACGGGTCGCATATCACCATAACCTACGGTGGTCATGGTAACTACAGCCCACCAAAATCCATCAGGTATACTTCGAAACAATGAGGTGTCCGCATCTGCTTCAGCAAAATAAACGGCCGACGAGAATAGGATCACACAAATTAGAAGAAAGAATACGAGCAATCCCAGCTCTCGCACACTTGCACGGAGTGTTTGTCCAAGAATCTGCAACCCTTTTGAATGTCTCGATAGTTTGAAAATCCGAAACACACGAACCAGTCGTATGACGCGGAGCACGGCCAAGGAGGTTGTCTGATTCTGCCTTTTAGGGTCATCCACAATAACAGCCCCAAGCGTGATGAAATAGGGTATAATTGATACCAAGTCAATCACGTTCATCATGACCTTAAAGAATAGTATTTTCTTTGGTGCTGATGCAAAGCGTATGAGCAATTCACTGCTAAACCACACAATACAAAATGTTTCTACTACGAAAAATGGTTGGTCAAGGGTTGGAAGATCATCTTCCTGTATGGCTGGTAGTTTGTTTGTTCCAATGTCTTCGGATTCGACAATGGTTCTGTATTGTTTGAAGTGAGGTAGTGTTTCAATGCAGAAAATAATAATCGATAGGACGATAACGACCACAGACCCTATGGCTAGGAACCTTGCCGGCAGGGAACTTTCTGGATATTCAAACAGTAACCAAACTTTCCTTTGGAATTTGTTCTTTGGCAAAAGTCGTGGTTCGTCTTTTATAAATCCCTCCTCTTCTCTATACTTTGTCAGCACCTCCTCTCCAAGTTCATAGAATTTGATTTCCTCTGTAAACACATCGATTGGCACGTTGACTGGACGTCGAAGTCGCCCGCCGCTCTGGTAATAATACAAGATCCCGTCAAAGCTAGACCGATTGCGATCGAAAAAATATTCGTTCCGTAATGGATCATAGTATCGATTCCGCTTTCTTGGGTTCCCCAACAGGGTGTCGGGAAATTGGCTAACAGTGTGTAACTGCGTCTCAAATCGGAGCCCACTCACATTGATTACGAGACGCTCGGAAGCTGCGACCGGATCAGTTGTGCTGGAATCGGTAACTTCGTCAATCTCTTCTTCGTCCAATTTTGTTTCTTCCAGTGTTCGATTCAGTCTGAAATGGCATGGATAAGAAAGGATATTAGACATTAACTTAGTTCCGGAAACCTACCGTCGACCCCACAGTTGTAGAGTTCCGTATGGAAGTAGTACACTAGATGCTGTTCCTGATAGAGCCGACATAAATATCTTTTACAGCGGTTCATTGCAATTATGCCCAGTCTTTAAATGGATCCAAATGTTCTCATGAGGCATTGATGAGCAGTTGCTGATCTGAAATTGCTTTCTTATCCAGTAAGCACTGGGACCGAATGAAAGGGCGTCCGATTAAGCGTACACACAGGGCTAGCGGACCGGTTGCATCAGGAGCACCTCATAATACAAAGCGTTTCTGACGGTTTAGTGTTCAGATACAAATATAGCCGAATATTTCCAGATATGACGCATTAACGAACAAAACAACAATTATGTTACAAAATTGATTCTGCCCACGTGAGATACACTAACGAACCAAACGCTCCGAGTTATGAGCAAAACATCGTCGAACGACTTGCTGATTGGCTAGCCGGTTGTGTGTAGTGTGACAGTTATGGTTGTCCCAGTGTCACTGAACCGCGTAACCAATCGTGTTAGCAGCGAAAGTTTTTGGATATGGATACGGCTTGGATACCTGTTTGTCACCAGCAAATTGGACATCCTCCATCTTACAGTCAGCGTGACACTTTGGCTATTGGTTGAATTCACTAAAAACCAATTATTTAGTGGCAGCAGCGTGGGGTTGGTGTACATGAATGACCAAAGTTTTGTCACATTGACCTCGCAAATGTAGTTCTTCGGGTCAATCAAAACTTCTGTCCGGAAGGTTGCTTGTCTTTTCACGGTCCAGGATCGTTCAGTATGTTCTGAGAGAACATTGCACTTGCTGCTGCGATGTGATCGTATTAGATAGAGCAGAACAACTCTTCTTTTCCGGAACATCGAGCTAGGGTGCTGGGACTCAAAAGAATAATGGTTATCGGACCAGTTTAGACACAACCTGCTTGTGTGATGCACGGTAAACACAAAAAACATGCCTGAGAGCCGTCGATTGTAACAGAAACAAGACATAATATTGTAACTGTACTGAAATTCATGTACAACCAGGTGTAAGACATGCGACCAACGGATATAACTATTAAAATACAGTACGGAGTACGATTCTGAACTACAAATTATGGTTTGCTTTGTGTCTTTGATGATTATTATGAGGTTTACTGCGACGGTGGTAAAAGTATCTGGATACTCTGAATAGTCGTTTGGAATGTGAATACGAGATATTGGACGATGTTTAGAAAACCCAGAAGGTTAATCCAAGGGAATCATCAGTTACAGTCCACGGGACTAAAGGGTTTTCAGATAGCGACAAGAAAAGTTGTGCTTATTCATCAAACAGTCGAGCTACAGAAGAACTTTCTCAGGTTGTTGGCAGGTGGAGAAGTTTTTTGGACAGCAAACGCGATGCAGAGACCTCGGAAAACGCTCTGGATAGGAAGTCACAAGATTTAATTAGCAGCTGATTGGTGCAATGTCGAAACTTATCTTATGAATTCGGGTTAATAAGGTCTGTGAATTTCAATTGATCTGGTTTTGACAACCTTAGCAAGACCGTTACCTTACAAAAAGGATCGTTATAAGAACGGAATCCTTTCAGATTTCCAGCTGAAATTCCAGCAGCGTTGATTTGGGTGTATTCACAGAAAGTAAAATGTACTCTGCGGTAATTCTCCAGCAAGAAACGGTTCTATTGAAAAAGGTATTTCTCAGAGACATACGGATTAGATCAGTTAGTTTCCCACGAGTTGATGTATCGCAGTGATGTATCTCAATGCTAAGAACCCGGTAGTATGTTTTGCAATCAGTGCAGAATTTTTGACCATGCATTAACTACATTTCATTTGAACAAGAATGATAGTTATATCTTGTTAAACTTTTTCTCTGTCGAAACTGTTTAAATCAAGGACTTACAAAAGCAAGAAGATTTGTAAACTATTCTAAAAAATGTCAGACGTTCTGAAATACGCGAGGTCTGTTTGTAAAATGCACGGTTTTGCTGGATATGGGACTTATGTCAGAGGTGGGTGAATAGCATTGGCGTATTCTGCTTGACAGATATTTATTTGTACGACCAAAATGGCATCCATCGCCTTAGCAAAGAGAGAATCATGAGCACAGTTTTCCATACATTGGTAAGCGTTACAGTTACACACGATAGCTGACTGTAAATCGACTTGGGTTAACCATAGGATAATGAATAACGCTAGATCAAAACCATTGCTTACATACTGAGCCCCGAAAACAAGGCGACTCAGTTGAATCTTTTAGTATGAAAATCCACACAACAACTCTACTAACGGTTGTTCTCATAGCATTCTGGATGGACGCTGATATTGTGGTTCATAGGTTTGCGAACCAGAACGATTGTTAACAGAAACAAACCCCACGATATTTGTCTTGTTCTTCGGAAATTTCTCTGATCTACTAGCAGACTACCAATGTCAGTGTTTCCTATCAATGTTGAAAAATATTTTGCCCCTCCGTAATTTATGCTTCAGTCTGGGTTTAGCGGCGTCTTGCTTGGTCTTAAACTAAAGTATTTATGTTTTGTCTGTGATGTTCGTTCAGCCTATGCAGTACTCGCTGTCTCTATCTATTCATTTTTTACTTGAAAACGGTTTACATGAGTAGGACTGGTTAAATACTAGAGGGATAATCTGATTATGGCCTAAACGGACTTGAAGGATAATTCTTCAGGTGGCGTATTGAAGCACTCCACGTAAATTTACATAAAAATAAAACATTTTTCGGCCTATGGCCCTCTGATTTTATGGTATATCGTTCTCTGATTATTCACAGTCAAACCTGATCAACTAGTGAAAAATTTTGGTGGTTTAGGCTGGCACAAAACGAGTGCCATGATAGACATCCCTAAAAAATATATCACACTAGCTTACTGACATATGCATTCTTCTGTCGGATAGAAAGGAAAACATCCAACGAGCAAATAACCGCTGGATTCACTTAAATATTAGTATTATATTTTAGTAATTAAAAAAGGAAGCTGGGGAAATCAGTATTTATGAACCATTCAGTGAACAATTAGTTAGACTCTCCCGTAGGCGCTTCACTCACAGAAAAGTGGAACTATCCCTTGCGACCGTTTTCAAGACAAAATTCTGCATTGAAATTTTGGTGAAATTGAGGTTTATGTTTGGTGGAAATTTCAGTTGAGCGATGATACTGGAATTTAATTTTGACAGTGCAGGTTAAAGGTCCACCTGCAGACTATCGGCAAAACTCTATGGCATTTGGTCTTATAATGCAGCCTAAACGTCAAAACTCAGGATAAAAACAATGTAATTTATTTACTTACGTTTTTATTCCTTTTTAATTGAATTTTCATCTCACTGTACCCTATTGGACCAAAAACTGTTCGCTTCTGCTTCAAAAACCGTGAAGCATATATAAACAAGCTTTTGTGTCCGATATGCTTCTGGTTTATTTTGTTCAACTAACTTGGTTCTCCGTCGTAAGACTTAAGTTGTTTTACTCTTCAAGATAGGGTAGATGCTATTCAAACCATGAAACTGACAAAAGGCAAAAGTGAGATCATAGCGTTCAATAAATTCTGTCTCTAGAGGTTTGTATTCGTTCATAAGTCAGTTGTATGCCAAGAACTTTAATTTTCATCGCGAAATCAGAAGATGACAATATTTTTAATGTTATTGTGCTCCCGCGATACAAGAGGAGGTGCTTTCTTCTGCCATATTGGCCACAACTAATGACGTGGTAAAAATTTCAGAAGTATGAAGGCGTTCGCCAATTCTTAGATCCTAAGGTAAGATCGAAGGAGGAATAATTAACCAGATCATAAAATTATGCTTCAAGCTATTTTAAAGTGAATTCCCGTAGCATGGCTTAATACCCTAATGCGATAAGGAACACAATTTCCTGAGGATGTCATTGGCATTCTGCAGGGCTAATGTAATGACTCCAAAATAATACTAGTTCCACGTCCGTGACATTTGGGTTTGCATGTCATTAGAAATTCCATGAGTACTCAAAGGAAACCCGTAGTCTCAATTTAGTTAAAACGCTTGAATGAGAATAAAAGGGACCTTTTTATGGGACTACTGATATGGCCAACCCACTGGACGAGTAGTATCCCCAGCTGATGCGTAAATCACACAACATAATTCAACACATTTGCTCTTTCGCAGGAATCCATGTGGTTCCATCAAAACTTATTTTGCGTAAAGTGACAAAATTGCACTTCAGAAATAAGATCCTAGACTCTATTTAAGATTTTGTGTGCGGTTCTATTCGCACGCAGCGACTGGTTTTCCAGGCGGTCATTTCTCCTATCGTCCCAGTGGTTTTCACCATTTCCAAGCCAACGTATGACTACGTATCTATTGATTTTATCTGGTCCGGCAAGAGCGTTTTCAGATAAACAGCTTCTCTAAACAACATAAATTCTAGTTATATATCCCTCTGGGTAAATTTCATGGGCCGGCTTTGTTGATATGAACAGCTGGACGTTAACATAGCAACGTCGTTCAGTATTTATGAGCAAGATACTGGGCGCAGTAATATGTTTGAAATTTATATACTAAACTTGAAGTCGGGTAATATGAATATTTGCATTCAACTGGTAAATTCCGAAGATCAATCATGCCGCCACAGTTCCGGATTCACTGATCTAACAGCTTTAAAACAGCGAACGGAAAATAGGATAAACTGGTTGTATTTCAACTGTGAATTGTCAAAGTTAGCACGCACTCGTTTGGATGAAACTGGAGCTGAAAATCCCATCCCATAATTTGATCAAGAGTTGCTGAGTAGAAACGAGTGATTCATTGCGCACACTGAAAATACCAGCATTATCGAACAATTAAATGTGACAGCACCAAGAATTATACTGAGGGTGTCCAATGGTAAATGTACTAATATCCGCAAAGTACGTAAACGATGCAGCCTGTTAAAGAGGATAGCCAAAATTACTAAACTGATTGTGGCGAGTAGGATGTATTCCTGTGGTGGAAGGTATGGTAAACCATTTGGTCAAGATCATACCCTGAAATCCTATTGGACGAACACTCTGCTCGCCACGACTGGTTTGTTAGGGGATCCAAAGCGGCTCGGGTGTCTAAGCTGCACCACTGTGTTGAGGCCAGCTACTACCAACCCGATCGCTATTAGGGACAGTTAAGTAACGCGTATAAACTTGATAAAAGTCGCATACGGTCCTAAGACGATGAGATGGGATTCTGAATTGCAGAAATACAGTGACGGAGAATGTATTGTCGAAATTATATCAGCCCCACGTAACTGCGATGTTCACCGATTATTTCATTTCGAACTGAGCGCTTTTCCGCCAAAAAGCTGCAGAAATCAGTATTTCGTGGGTAACATTATGTGGTTGTATTTTTTCATTCTTATATA